CAGTGGAAACAATCACATTCATTGGTCAGCTCCCCACCTAGATGATACGATCAGTGGAAACAATCACATTCATTGGTCAGCTCCCCACCTAGATGATATGATCAGTGGAAACAGTCACATTCATTGGTCAGCTCCCCACCTAGATGATACGATCAGTGGAAACAATCACATTCATTGGTCAGCTCCCCATCTAGATGATATGATCAGTGAAAACAGTCACATTCATTGGTCAGCTCCCCATCTAGATGATATGATCAGTGGAAACAGTCACATTCATTGGTCAGCTCCCAATCTAGATGATATGATCGGTGAAAACACTCACATATATTGGTCAGGTCCCCATCTAGATGATACGATCAGTGGAAACAGTCACATTCATTGGTCAGCTTCCCATCTAGATGATACGATCAGTGGAAACAGTCACATTTATTGGTCAGCTCCCCATCTAGATGATATGATCAGAGAAAACAGTCACATTCATTGGTCAGGTCCCAATCTAGATGATATGATCAGTGGAAACAGTCACATTCATTGGTCAGCTCCCCATCTAGATGATACGATCAGTGGAAACAATCACATTCATTGGTCAGCTCCCCATCTAGATGATATGATCAGTGAAAACAATCACATTCATTGGTCAGCTCCCCATCTAGATGATACGATCAGTGGAAACAGTCACATTCATTGGTCAGCTCCCCATCTAGATGATATGATCTAGATCATTGTCTCAATACACGAGTGACTATTATGATGTTCATACCATGAAACAGGGTACCACCAAGCACTGAACATCACAGATTTGTAAACGATTAGGACTAATGACTTTTAATATGGCTTAGTTATTGAAAACTGGATTATAGTACAAAATATATCAACATATTCATAAATATATTTGTAAATAAAATATGTCAAGAAACTGAAGATCAGTACATCTGAAACATTAATATATCTGGAAAAATCACAATGCAACACACAAATGAGAACTACATTTCAACAAATGTTTAGTTTACCGACAGTCTATAAAACTTGTTAAACTACATAGTAACAGCAGTATTACAGTCATATTGTGTCACAAGGGTATTTTAAGGGGGAAATATATATTTTTGAAATATAAGGTGAAAACGTGAAAAAGGATTTTTGATCTACTTCACATACAACAATGGAAGCCCATTGGTGCAATATCATGGTGTTTTCTTTCTTGAAATTTCCAGATACCATTTTGAAAGTTCAAGATACTATGGTAAAATTTTTAAGATGCTATGTTGAAAAGTCATGATAATACAATTAAGGCCTTAACATTGTTCTTGCACCTGACATTTCCAAGTAGTACCTTGAATTTTCATCATACATGAAGAGCCTTGAATTTTCAATATAATATCTTGAAATTTAAAGAAAAAATATTTTGAAACATGATATGGCCTTAATGGGCTCCGGTTCATAATGCTTGATCAGGCAACACTCTTTCTAAAACTTGGTTTATGAATTCAACAATTCCAAAGGATTGAAATGCAAAACAAAATAAATTAAATTTTAAGCTTCAAAATAAGTAATACGCTAAATAAACAATACTCATTTACAGGCATTAGCAATATATATTAATTATTTAAATACTAGAATTAAATCTGTTAAAATTTTATCTGAAACACTTCTTAACATTTTACAGAAATATACATACATATTTGATATTGAACTTTAAACAAAACACAAAAATATCCAACCTACCCACCAGAAGTTTTGGACCAAAAATCCGTAAACCAAATGGAAAATAAAGTCTGGACTCATCTTCCTGAGGCAAGGGACTTAACTGACAATAAAAGTCCAGTTTCCACCCTTGCTAAAATAGGCTGGAAATTCTTTGCATGACTTTTAAGGTCAGTTAACTATCTCGCTTTGGGAAGATGGGCCACGGAACACATGCAATGTAAAAAATGTATGAGTGACTGATGATGGTTATTATGCTGATTCATCAATATTCAGCATGACCAGGAACAAAGGGAAATGCGGTTTCACATTGTACAAACATGTTGGGAATCAAACCCCGGTATTCATCATGACAAGCAAACACTTGATCCATTTGGCTACTCATCAGCTGCTTCAAAGGGATACTTATATTTACAAACCATAGTCATATGAAAAGAATCAGGCGCTCTTCAATCTCATTAAAAATCAGATCTTGGTTCTCGCTACGCTAAACAAAAGATCTGAGGACATCCCATTACAGGTCATGTCAGAACAACCTTTCGCGAACTTTGACCGACCAATGAAATGACTAACAAATAGTCAACATTAGCCACTCAGAAAGCAGATGGATGGCGATTTTTAACAAAATCAGCCTGTAACCTTTTCAAGGTTGCATGATTAGAAAACACATTCCGACTGCCACTTTCCTGATGATGTAAGCGATGCTCTAATTGGTCAGATGAAAGGTCCTTCGGATGTCAATCATATCAATACTCTCTGATAAACGTCTAGAGCTCTTCACCAAGCCTCAGATTATAAACTGTTTTTGACGCGAGTTGATTTTTATTTGAAATCAAAATACAAATGTGTGAGATTCTGAATATGATATAAAAATAGGGGTTACTGTGGTATATGAATGTAGAAACCTCCAATTCTATTAGTGTTGTGAGTTAAAACAGGGACCACTTGATATTCACTTTTAGGCCAAAATATAATAATTATAATACGATCATCCCACACCCTGGCTAAACACACAGCCTCCTACTGACGTAGAAAATTGTTATGTGTTCCTTTTTTCACTTGACCTGATTAACTTGAAGAAATAAACACACAGTGTGTATCTACTTATCACAAGCCTACCACACCATCTTCCCGAGGCAAGGAGTTAACTGAATATTAAAGTCCAGTTTCCATCCTTGCCGAACTAGGCTGGAATTAAGGAGTTATATTTTGGCTGGACTAACAAGTCTATGCATAGTCCAACCCAAATTGCATAACAAAATCAACATCCGGTTCGTAAACTGTGCATGATTTGATGTGCGAAGTAAGACCTGTTATATTACAGTATAAATCTTGATTATCAACCAGATTGTCTTCACTGGGCGCCATTTTCTGTGAAGCAAATACAAGTGATATGAGAGATTGAATCTGATTGGTCAATAGGAGGGACATAGAAGGGACATAACTCATAATAACCACTGGTGGCACTATGATCAAGCCCAGGAATTCCAGCCTAGTTCGGCAAGGGTGGAAACTGGACTTTTAAAGTCAGTTAACTCCCTTGCCTCAGGAAGATGTATCAGTTCATGGGAATCACATCCGGCAACACTTTATGAACACAGGTACCATGTGTTTGAAGATTATTTTTTTTTAAATGTCCCACCTCGCATATACAAATTGGATGAAAATCTATCAATTAATATATAATAGCCTTATTTACAAACACTGTTTTGTATAGATCCTTCAACACATAAATACTTTTGCCTCAATTTTGTAAGCCATAGATAAAATTTTGTAACCATAGTAACCTAATAAACTACCAGCAACAAATTGAAATAAAATATTCTTTGGTTTGAACTAAAAAAACACACACAGATTTGCTAAATCACTTAACAACATAACACAACCATTAACAACATCATGAAAATATAGACATACATATGACAAAATCATAACGCCAAAACATCGATCAAGTAACTATCATGTACAGTAGGACCTCATGAATCTATCCATACAAGGAAGAGGTTTCTGGTGGGTCACACAAAAATTGAAAATATAATGACCCAGACTGCGAAGATAAGGCTAAAAAAAATAATGCTGTATTCGACGTAATAAGCACCCAGAGCGCTCTCAAAATTAGAAATAGGGGGCTTTTATTAGAATATTATTTTGGTTGAAAAGTTGAAAGATAAGTTGAGTTGAAAGATAAATTTCTTGGTTTATGCTGACAGACTAAAATGTTTATACACGACAGATATATTTTTCCAGAATTTAATTGCCCATAATTAAGGGTGCATATAACACACGAGTGAGTATTATACGTGAATAAATAAGTCTTGTGTACATTGATCAATCGGAAGGGGTGCTAATTGGGATTGTTCACTAGCCAATATATCAGCAAATATCACCGTGGGCGCTTATTACGTCGAATACGGTAGTCTTGGTTCTCAGGCACAGCCCACATCATCACACAGTCCAACCCACGTTTCGTTTTTGTTTCCATTATTAAAATGAAAAACCCAACACACAACCCTGGCAGTAAAAATTCTACATTACTTAAAAACAATGAGATTCAAAATAGCGTGAAACCTTGGATAAAAGTAATATAATGGATTACAAATGTAAGTCCAGATACACAATGAATACTTTATAGCAAGCTAACAAGCTGTATCTATGCAAGTACACACACACTGGTAGTCACGTCGGTAGTCAAATATTGTATTCCAGTATTTTACTCATCAAGGAATACATTTCCTTAGGTAGGCCATTTCCAAGGTTAATTGTACACGACTGTTTATTTGTTTAAATACTAATAAACAAAACAAAAACAAAAAAACGCCCACATGCTCTATATTTTCAAATGCCATTGCCTGAGAACCAATTCTTTTATTTTTCTAAGCCCAAGTGCGCAAGAGACCATGTCCAGTTTAACGAGGTCCTACTGTCCATGACACTCACTGCTCAGCAGTAAATGCAGAGTCGGCAAAAATTCACCATTGACAGAGTTTTGCTTATTGCATTAGGAACGTAGTTGTCGTGACTTTCTTATGCATTCCTGACCATTGATGCTACCCTTTGGTAGCGTTAACTCACAATCAAGTCCTTTAAACCATGCACTAAAATTCACCTGACTGACATCCTTTCTTATCTGACAAGGGGGCACGGGTGGCCCAGTCGTCTAAGGTGCCGCGATTCGCTGTGCAGAGTTGCATCCCTTGGGCACGCCTGAAACCTATGATTGTGGGTTCGAATCCCGTTTCGCACCAATTATCTAGGTTTGTCAGCACCATACCCGTGCTCGTGGGTTTCACCCAAGTGGTAAACGCCTGAGACCTGCATCACTTCGGGCTTTCCTCCAACATTAAGCTGACACGCCGCGATATAACTGGAATACTGTTAAAAGCTGCGTTAAACCCAACTCACTCACTCAGTCTTATCAGACAACTTGATCATGCCTTTACAAGTATGGACATATTGGACACTTGTTATTTAAGTGCTGCTTTTAGCAATTATCCAGCACACTGTAACTCTGTGGGAAATAAAACCTGGGTCTTCGGTGTGAAGATCAAATGCTTTAACAACCAGGCTAACCCTTCCCATCTTTCAGGGAAATAATCGTATGTCTTGAACATTTTGTTGAAATAAACCAACTAAAACAAAATTCCAGTGTTTTGAACACACACCCAACCCAACAACCCCTTACCTTGAAAAATTAAATCAGTCCTTAAAGACAATGAACACATCACCACATGTTGTAGTGGGTGAGTATGTTTTTTTCGCCGCTTTTAGCAATATTCCAGCAATGTCACAGGAGGACACCAGAAATGGGCTTCACACATTGTACCCATGTCGGGAATCGAACACTTTATCCCCGAGATGTTGTAACAACATTGCCTGGCGTCTCCACACACTAACCTCTATCTCGGACTAGCGGCACGTCAGTGACACCTGACTCTAAGAGAATAAACTAGGAGGGAGGTATAATATGATGCAGGCAGCAGATGCTTGCCATTTCGGTGAAACACGGGACCATGGGTAAGGTTATCTTAAACAGATGAATGTTGGATTTCAACCCAAAATCAGAAGATCATGACATGACAAAGGGACATAACTCTGCCTTGTTTTGAAGAATATCAATGGTTGGATGAAGGATTGTAATGAAGGCAAATGTAAGATGCAAAACCCCAAATCAGCAGATCCTGGCATGACTAAGGAACACCACTCCACATTGTTTCAAAGAAATTCAGTGGTGATTAGACTGAGGACGTGAATGAGATCTATCTCTTGCTACGTTGTCTTGGCAGTGCGGACTCGCTTCGCCCATGGAGATGCAGAACTTCCGTTGATGTTGAACTCTTCTCCTGCTCGAATCAATTCTTTCTCCAGGGTGTCTGCGATGGGTTGGAGAGGGTCGAAGGTGAAACTGCAGATCAGGCCTTCGCTGTTCACCTGGAGCAGATGGCACAACATTTAAATGGTGAGGTGTAGTGGACATTATCGATTAAGATTAAGGCGGTCCATTATCGTGTGTGATATGGAAAGGGTGCGCGGGAATCACGCACGCTCGAATACGGTGTTATCGTTGGGCGTCTCAACGTGCGTGATTCCCGTGCACCCTTTCGAGTTGAGTTGATTGGTTCAACTGTGTCATATGGCCCTGTGACACAGGGGTAGCATTATGCAGATGGCTGTTTCAATGAATGCTCGTTCCACCCGTGACGAACAGGTCTGGTTGTTGATGAAATACAGTGATAGCTAAATAGACACATTGACTTTTAAATAATCTCATACCAACTTTGACTGGAGTAGGTCCGATAGTTTTTCAGATATTGTAGTAAACGTCGGTACCTTAAATTACCTTCCAGACTATAGCTGTGGCTGTGTGTGGCTACATGTACAAGGTCTGGACTGATGCCGATTTTATAGTGCTAGCCCTCTGAGATACCAAATCACAGTTCTAAGAAGGACACCCCACTCAGACACAGTATACTGACTCTGAGCTGACCAGTCCTTGTTTTAGCCCCTTAATGCTGAGCGCCAGGAAGGGTAACAATAAGTACCATCTTTTAACAACTTTTGGTATGACGCGCCCAGGGATCAACCACCGACCTTCTATCCACTACACCACAGAGACGGTCCATAGCGCTGAGAACACTTTGTGAAACACATCCCTTTTCCTGCGTTTCAGTCGGTTGTAGTGCTTTTACAACAGATACTCACCAAATCACTTTTCTTGATCCATTTCTCAGATAATGTAAACTGCTTTGATTTTCCAACAGAGCCTGAAACAAAACGGAGGAAGCAAAGTTCAAATGAGATCCGCAAAATTTCACTTGTTTTCTGCATTTTCAGCAGTGTTGCAGAATATCAACATATTGAAAGCACACTAACACAAAGCTACACTGAACACATGTTAGATGGAATATTGTCATAAAGTCACAAGCTGCCATTATCAGCAAACAAGGGATGAAAAAATAAATTAAAATTTTTTTGTTTGTTTGTTTGTTGATTAAAACCACACTCTGCAATATTCCAGCTATATGATGGCAGTTTGTAAATAATTGAGTCTGGACAAGAAAATCCAGTGATGTCCAGACTCGATTATTTACAGACTGCCATCTTTAGCTGGAATATTGCTGAGTGCGGCTTTAAACAACAAACAACTTGGTATCTTGAAATTCCAACTTCAAGAGTCATCGATGACATGTATCGACCACATCAGCGAGCTTGACCATCCAATCCCGTAGTCGCCTCTTATGACAAGCATAGTCGCATTTTACGGCAAGCATGGGTTGCTGAAGACCTACTCTACCCCGGATCTTCAAAGAAACCTGCTACAACTAGTTAGTCATCTGCTGTATAACAAATCTGCCAAAAAGCTTCACAATTTGAGTCTCCACGGAGTTAAAAGACGCACATGCTCATCAACCCCTGCCATCATTTTTGTTTTCTTTTTTTCACTACCTAACGCTACACTCAGCAATATTCCAGGTATATGACGGCGGCCTGTAAATAATTGAGTCTGGACCAGACAATCAAGTGATTCTGGGGATACCAAATCATCCAGTCTGACCACCCGATCCTGTTTGTCATGTCTACGAAAGCATGATTGCTGAAAATCAATTCTAAACCGGATCTTCAAGGGTGCATCGTCTTTGTGCTAAATTCTAGTGCAACAGATGGTGTCTCCATGCTCAAAGCATAAATGTCGAAAATTGGAAGAAAAAAGACAGACCTGATTTAAGCTCTGGACCGAGTTACTTCCCTTCTTGGAATACACTTGTGATAAATATAGCAATGATTTTTTTTATGAAATTTGTTCCAAATTTTTCTGTACAAGATAATATTATCTTTAATTTAAAGTATAAATTATTGATTGGAACGGGTACTTAGGACCAATGGGAGATGAGCAACACACTAAGTTGTTGCCAGCTGAATGTGTTACCTTGGTACCACTGCACGCTGACAAAATGGAGACTGTGGAGCTGGGTGACCTCCACGACCTTGCCGATCTGAAGCTCCACTCCACTCAGACCCATCACAAAGTTACCTGCAACAGTCAATGACCTTAGTTTCTGACTGATGATTAGTGCTAAACAAGGTATGCTGGAGTAATATCAATTGCAAGTAGTTGCAAGGAAAGTAGTTTTTCTAATGTTTCTCAAAGTCTAATTTGACAGGTTTGTTTGTTTGTTGTTTTACACCGCACTCAGCAATATTCCAGCTATATGACGGTGCTCTGTAAATAATCGAGTCTGGACCAGATAATCCAGTGATTGATATCATGAGCATTGATCCACGCAATTGGGATCGATCACATGCATCAACCAAGTCAGCGAGTCTGACCACCTGATCCCGCTAGTCGACTCTTACGACAAGCAAAGTCGCCTTTTACAACAAGCATAGTCGCCTTTTACGGCCTCATGGGACCCTGGGTAGGAGAGTGTGTTCTAGCTAGTGTGAACCCATTGTCATTCATAATACTGCTGACTTAGAAATACAGATAGGTCACGTACACAAGTTTATTATTTAGTCATCAAAACCAATGAAGGTTTTTACAAGGCTTTCAGTGAGTGAGTGAGTTGGGTTTAACACCGTTTTTAACAGTATTCCAGTCATATCACGGCGTGTCAGCTTAATGTGGGAGGAAAGCCCGAAGAGATGCAGGTCTCAGACGTTTACCACTTCGGTGAAACCCACGAGAACGGGTATGGTGCTGACAAACCTAGAAACATAATCGGGGCGAACTGGGATTCAAACCCACAATCATAGGTTTCTGGCGAGATCAAGGGACGCAACTCTGCACAGCGAATCACGGCGCCTTTATGACTGGGCCACCCGTACCCCCTATAAGGCTTTCAAGGTCACTAGAATTATGAAGAACAAGAAAACAGCGTTATCACTTCCCCACCATGGGGCACATTAAAACTTTGTTTGTTCAAATAGTAGTGAACAAAAACTATAAAAAAGAGTCCCCTAAAAGAGAAAGGAGAGACAGACACTGGGGCCACTTTATGTCATCCTAAAAAATTATTAATTATTAAATTAATACACACAAAAGGTCCTTCTCTAGAAAAAATAATCTAATAAAAATAATAATAAGCTAACTTCAGTAGTTTCTGAAAAAACTTGTCCCCATTGCCCACACAATGCACAAAGTAAAATAACATGTATCAAGGGACGCAACTCTGTAAAAACATAATTTACTGGACCAATTTTCAAACTCAGTCTTGACAAGTATCACTTTGATAAGCATGCAAACTTTCATTCATGTAACTTCAGTAGTTCCTGACAAAACTTGTCCCCATTTCACACAGTATCTAAATTGATAAGAATGGAGCAAGGGCCATAACTCTGTAAAAAATGAATTTACGACACTTATTTTCGAACTCATTTGGAGATCATGACCAGTAACAAAGTGGTTAAAATCTATTTTTTCAATTTGTCCCCTTTGAGAAGCAGACAGACAGACGAATGGACAACCTCCGCTACTATTTCCCCGCCCCACTTCGTATTATAATAATGGTAGCCATGTTTAGAATGGCATCAGAATGTTTCTCAGTAAGTTATATATAGAGAATCTCACCCGAGTGTCTTTTGATATCAAATATATCAACACTAGTTGATAAAAGTGGAAAAATTTCGATGCCTGCGATTGTTGATATATTTGATATCAAAAGACACGAGGGTGAGATTTTATTCATCATCCAACATCATTCTTTCAACTTTTCCAATTTGTAGACAGTAATTAGGAGTGTCTTCAGTGTAAAAAGTACTGCAAACAGCTTCAGTAGCAGAGCCATTAGTGATGTCATTTGATTGTGACGTCATGGTAACCAGTGACGTCACAATGTTCTGCAAAGCATTGTGATGTAATTTCATTGCAGAGATATCTACAGTGTAGATATCGCTTGATCTAATCCCAAGATATCTCCTGTGGGAGCCAGTTTTGGATGATAAAGTAAGTTATATTGCTGGGATCATTCACACAAAGTTCCGGCGCCATTGGGCTTGTAGTTTTAAAGATGTAAATATGCAGTAACAGTAAATGAACAGGGGTCCATGAAGGTCAAGTTGGACATAAAATCAAAATATGACAAAAGAAATCATCACATGTTATGTGGAGATTGACGGATTCCCTGGTGGAGAGTTTATGGGCGGGGCAGGTTCTTGAGGGCTGGCTGAAACATGAGGGTGATCGGGTCGACTTGTCTGATCTACTTGCCAAGTGTGTTTATGAAACGGCAAATTCCTACCAGCTTCCAGCACTATTCTGGATTCGAGAATCGAGGTAGGCTGCTTTCAAGACATTCTACAGCGACAAGAGTCTGAACATTCGAGAGAGCACTCACATTAATTCTAGGGAATGGTCACTTGTTGCTGCTGCCAACTATCTGACACACTGATTATAAACATGAAACTTTGTGTCAAAATATGATTTACTGATTATTCCTTGATCTTGTGTGGCTATTTACTTATTTCAACATTTGGTTCTGTACGAACCGGTTACACTTTGCCTTTCATTTTGGAATTATCATCATCATCATCATCACCATCATCATCATCACCACCACCACCGCCACCATCACCACCATCATCATCATCATCATCACCACCATCATCATCATCATCACCACCATCATCATCACCATCATCACCACCATCATCATCATCATCATCACCACCACCACCGCCAACATCACCACCATCATCACATCACCATCACATCATCACCATCATCAGATCATCATCATCAAATCACCATCATCATCATCACGACCGTCATCGTCACCATCATCACATCATCATCACCACCACCATCACCACCGTCATCATCACAATCATCATCATCACAATCATCATCATCATCATCCACATCATCACCACCTTCATCGTCACCATCATCACCATCACATCATCATCATCATCAACAACATCATCATCACCATCATCATCATCAAAAATCAACATCATCATCACAACCACCACCACAATAATCATCATCATCATCATCACCATCAACCACACCATCATCATCACCACCACCACCATCATCACCACCGTCATCGTCATCATCATCAAAAATCAACATCATCATCACAACCACCACCACAATAATCATCATCATCATCATCATCACCATCATCATCACCACCATCACCATCATCACCACCATCATCATCATCACCACCATCATCATCACTCATCACCGTCATCATCATCACAATCATCATCATCATCACCATCACCACCATCACAATCATCATCACCATCACAACCACCACCACAATCATCATCATCATCACAATAATCATCATCATCACAACCACCACCACAATAATCATCATCACAATCATCATCATCATCATCATCATCATCACCATCATCCACACCATCGCCATCACCATCATCACCACCGTCATCGTCACCATCATCATCATCACCACCATCATCATCATCACCACCATCATCATCATCACCACCATCATCATCATCATCATGATCATCGTCACCATCACCATCATCATCACAATCACCATCATCATCACAACCACCACCACAATAATCATCATCATCATCATCATCATCCACACCATCACCATCATCACAACCACGACCACAATAATCATCA